ACACAAGAAAACACTTAACCCAGTACCTTAGAGAAGGGTGTCTATCACTAATTTATGCAAAGAATGAGGTCACCGATTCAAGTTACAAACATAAGTGAACCTCAGAAACATTAGGCTAAGTGGCAGAAACCAGCCACAAGTGGTCACAGGTGTGAAACAGACAGACTTGATAGGTCAATGGAGGCAGGAAGTAGAAAGGAGGTTGTCACGGGCTGGAGGCAGAAGGAGAGGGAGCATGAGTATGGGGGTTCTGGAGACGATGAAAGAGTCCTGGAATTAGTAGTGCTAGTCACACGATGCCACAACTATAATAAAAGCCCCTTAGAAGCGTGAATTTTACAGAGTGTGAATTACATTTCAATAAACCACAGTTATGTAAATTACATTTTGATTAACCAGTTATAAGTAAAAATACACATACACAATGACTTTCTGAAATAGTAAGGAAAATAAAAGAAATGCAAACAATAGCTTGATTTTCTTAAGAAAGCACAAATCAGGCTGTCTGGTTTGTGGAGAGGTGAGGGTGGGAGAGCGGGAAGGAGTGTTCACCAGGATGATGGTGCAGGTAAAGCTCTGCCACAGAGCATTTCAGGATTCATCTGAGAACGAAGACGTTCCTGTCTACGCAAAGGGATTTTACAAACACAAAATGATGCTGCAAACCACAATGGGTCACTGTTCTCTCAGCTGACAGAACCAGAATGTTTTATAATCCAAACGGGTCAATGTTTTTAGTCTAGCACTCTTAAGGTAGTACCACAATTATGGTTAAGCAGACAGTAATTAATCTCTCTTACCAAATATGGCAGAACTCTAATTCAATACAGGCTTCCCTCTCACACAACACATTCTACCCACCAGCCCCCAAAGGTGATCGTAAAATTTTCACATTGTAACCCCAGAGACTGAGAGAGAGTGAGTGAGAGTGAGAGAGTGAGAGTGAGAGAGAGTGAGTGAGAGAGTGAGAGTGAGTGAGTGAGTGAGGGTGAGTGAGAGAGTGAGTGAGAGTGAGTGAGTGAGAGTGAGTGAGTGAGAGTGAGAGAGTGAGTGAGTGAGAGTGAGAGTGATAGAGTGAGTGAGAGTGAGAGAGAGTGAGAGTGAGTGAGTGAGAGTGAGTGAGTGAGTGAGTGATCTCACCCTCACTCACTCACTCTCACTCACTCACTCTCACTCACTCTCACCCTCACTCACTCTCACTCATTCACTCTCACTCACTCACTCTCTCACTATCCTACTCCAAATAGCTTTTGGAGACTGGTGGGTGTCTGAAATTGTACCTAATTGTCTTCAATTTGAGTAACAAATCCCAGACATACAATTTTATTAGTATTGAATGAGTCTATACATGCGCACACCCCGACCCCAAGAATGTATATGAGGGAACTTCAAAAAAGCTATGGAAAATGCTACTATCTTTTAATTGAATATTTTCATCAACTTTTTGAAGCCTCCTCTTTATACAGTAGTATGTGGGAACATGTAGGAACGAAAATGAAAACACCCCCCACCCCCAGAGATTACTTAGCATTGGTTCTATTTTAGTTTCTATCCTTTTAGATGTTTGTCTGTCCATGTAGACGGAGCGTTTCTTTCTTTT